AATATATAAGAAACTCAACAATTCAACAGTGGAAATCAAATAATCTCATTAAAAAATGAGCAAAAGACATGAATAGGCATTTTTCAAAAGAAGACATAGAAATGCCAAACGGGTATGGGGAAAATGCTCAACATTACTAATCACCAGGGAAATGCAAGTCAAAACTACAATGAGATATTGTCTTATGCCAGTTAGAATCGTCATGATTAAAATAAATAAATGACTCATGCTGGCAAGAATGTGAAGGAAAAGGAACTCTTAGGCACTATTGGCAAGAATGCAGATTAGTACAGCTGCTATGAAAAACAGTATGGGGATTTACCAAAAAACTAAAAATTGGCCGGGCGCGGTGGCTCAAGCCTGTAATCCCAGCACTGTGGGAGGCCGAGGCGGGTGGATCACGAGGTCAAGAGATCGAGACCATCCTGGTCAACATGGTGAAACCCCGTCTCTACTAAAAATACAAAATACAAAAAATTAGCTGGGCATGGTGGCGCGTGCCTGTAATCCCAGCTACTCAGGGGGCTGGGGCAGGAGAATTGCCTGAACCCAGGAGGCGGAGGTTGCGGTGAGCCGAGATCGCGCCATTGCACTCCAGCCTGGGTCACAAGAGCGAAACTTCGTCTCAAAAAAAAAAAAACTAAAAATTGAACTATCATAAGGTCCAGCAATCCCATTCCTGGGTATTTATCCAAAGAAAAAGAATTCAGAATAATAAACAGATACCTCAACTACACTGTTTATTGCAGCATGATTCATATTAGCAAAGATATGGAATCATTGTAAGTGTCCATCAATAGATGAATGAAGAAAATGTGATATATACACACAATGGAATAGTATTCAGCCATAAAAATATAAAATCCTGTCATTTGCAGCAACATGGATAAAACTGGAGGTCTTTATGTTAAGTGAAATAAGCCAGGCATAGAAAGACAAATTTTGCATGTTCTCATTGATATGTGGGAGCTAAAAATGTTGATGTCATGCAGGTAGAGAACAGAATGATAGATACCAGAGGCAGAGAAGGGTGTGCAGGTTGTGGGAGGAAGGGAGATGAAGAGAAGTTGATTAATGGAAACAAACACACAGTTAGATAGAAGGAATAAGTTCTGATGTTTGATAGCAAAATAGGGTGATTATAGTTAACAACAATATATTGTATATTTCAAAATAGTAGAAGAGAGGACTTGAAATGCTCCCGACACACAGAAATAATAAATACTTGAGGTGATAAATACCCCAAATACCTGACTTGATCATTATGCATTATATGCATGTAACACAATGCCACATGTACCTCATAAATATATTAATAAGAGAAAGTCCATCTCATATTGGTTGAGGCCTGATTGTAAATAAATCTTTGTCCCTCCAGACTTTCCCCTGTACAGTCTTGCTGTAACAGTCTTTACTGCTACTTCTTATATTCCAACACCATTTTAGCCTTTTTCTGTCCTCCCCATATTTTTACCTCAGTTTTTACTGTTTATACAGCACACTTTGCCCCAAGTTCTTTCTTAGCAAGCTAGAATATAAGCGAATGCAATAGCATAGAGACAAGGTCATTCCCATTTTCAAATTCAGGGTATAAACCAAGGAAATTTACCAACACATTTTCTTTAAATCAGCAAATAAATAGTTTTATTCTGACATTTTGAAAAAAAATCACTCAATATCATTAATGAATTGTCATTTTACCACAATGTAGGTTGTTGAATTTGAACTTAACCTTCACTTTCAAATAAGTACTTTGTATTTTATTGATCTCTATTTTCCTGGAACAACATGGGGGCTATGTTTAGTGTGAGGACAAAGTATCACACCTTTCATGTGAAAGAAAAGATAAGCTACCACGGTACATATAACAATGAGGTGGTTAAAACCCTAAGTCATCATCTGGCAACACTGCAAATTTACTAAAATCACTATTTCAAAGCAGTATAGAATGGATATCAGCCAAAATAAGTATCTCTCTCTCTCTCTCTCTCTCTATATATATATATATATATATATATATGTATGTATACACACACACACACTCATACATATTATACGCATATAGAGAAACTTCACTATTTTGTAAATGCTTAAAAATTACAGACTTTGGAAGTCATACGGCTATTTCAGTGTGTGTGGCTACCAGTCTGACCCTCCTGTTTCAAAACACAGTTGCAGAAGCAGAGGAAGTCATTATACAGTTAGAACATCATTTTATAAGGCAGCAGGTCTGGTAGGAAGGAGATCAGGTGCTACTTGTGACAATGGTCAGCAAATATTTGTGTTCCCCGTATTTTTCTAGGTCCTCAGTTAAAATCAAAGCAGCTGCAATCTTGGCAATGGGAGGTGATACTCACACTTTGAGCAAGACCCCCTGCACTGCCACTGATTATACCTACAATGGCAGCTCCAAATATTTTGTATGAAATGAGCATAGACATGGCATGCTGAAAGAGAAAGGAGTAGACTAGTGCTTACCTTGAAGCTGTGCAACCAAGCTTAGTTTTTACATAGATTGTGTGTTTCATGTGGTGTGATAACAGCTTGAGATGACATTGACATGGCCGTTGGCATATCCACACCAGGCAAAGAAATCCTAATTACTGTGTATCCCGTGATTGGAGTAACATTGATGTATACGTATTTTTTTCTATTCTTTTCACTTTTGTGTTTGAAAATGAGTTATGGACTCATTCAAAGTGAAAAATGAGCTAACTTCCTCATTCTATGAATAAATTTTATAAGGAAAGAATGATAAGCTAATACCTACAGAGTGTTTATTAAATGCTAGGCACAGTTCCAAGTGATTTACAATTGGTATTTCTTTTAATTTTCACAGCTTTACAAGAAGATGCTGCTATCTTTATTTTATAGATGGAGAAATTGAGGCATGGAGAGGCTATGCAATAAAATTTTAGCATTACCTAGGTAATGGTGGAGTTGGAATTCCAAATCAGGCAGTCTGACTTTAGAGCCCACAGACAGCAAGATAGTAAGTAAAGGAAGGAAGGAACAAATTGATGGATCTTTTTGCTTCTGTTTGGTTTTTTGAAACAGGGTCTCACTCTGTCGCCCAGGCTGGCGTGCAACGGTGCAATCTTGGCTCACTTCCGCCTCACTAGAACACCTGGACTCAAGTGATCCTCCCGCTTTTGCCTCTCAGGTAGCTAGGACTACAGGCGTGAGCCTTCATGGCCGGCTACAGACATTTTTTAAATTTCTGTAGAAACAGGGTTTCCCTATGTTCCCCAGGCTGGTATCCAACTCCTGGGCTCAAGCAATTCTCCCGCCTCGGCCTTGAAAAGTGTTGAGATTACAGTTGTGAGCCACCGTGCCTGGCCTCGATGGAACTTTAAAAGTGGTGGCGGGTGGGAAAAAGAAGAAGAACAAAAACTGTATAACAAAAGAGAAACATCATTGCGTCTTGGGAAGGATGGAATCCTTTTCATTCTGCTCTAGGGAAAAGCCATTTGGAAAACTTCTGTGTTAACAAAGAAGAGCCCAGTGGCTTGGCAGCGAAATTTAGAGCACTTGTTCTTTATGACAATCGCAGGGGCCTTCAGGAAGCTGATCAAAGTGTGGTCTTCTCAGAACTTATTTGTTTGTTAATATTAACCTTGAAATTTATTGCTTTTATTTGTTATTTGATAAGGATTCATCAAGGGTCTATTAGGTATCAGGCACTAAGAGATGAGGGACATAGAGTTAAGAATACAAAACTGATTCCCAATCTTCAAGAATTGACAAATTTGTAGAAGATAGACATTGAACATATAGTGCAGTCAAATGTGATGAGTGCGAGACTAAGAGAACAAGGTGTTCTAAGACTCCACAGTGTACAGTGGAGTGGGACGTGGTTTCTAATCTAGTTTAGCTAGATTTGGGAAAAACCTCTCTGATGAAGAGACGTTTGAGCTGACACTTGAAGGATTAATAGCTAAAGGGGAGAAAGTGTTGTATATGAGAGAACTATATATGCCAAGACACAGAAGTGTTCTCTGTTCAAAGATCTGAGCGGGGCTCAGAGAGGGAAAAGGAGAGGAGTATGAGAGAAGATGGGAGAGACCTGCAGGGCCTAGATTGTGAGCTCATGGGGAGTTAATAGCCTTAAGGAGAGTTTTGTCTCCAGGCTACGAACAATGAACTCAGCCTCAAAACCATTACTTTTTCTTTGCTAATGTTCCTCAATAGTCTTGACACTTTTAAACTAGAGAATATAAATCCACAAGGAATTGTTTTATAATTTTATGGATGTCTTTATTTTCTATTTATTTATTTATTTAGCCAAACTGCAATTGTCTTGATCGAGTTATAGATGTCTTTACTTTAAAAATCATTTACATTGTGGATCTCTACCTTGCCTTCTCCTACCCAGCACAAATGAGGTTATACCTCACTCACAAATTGGTTTATCTTTACCAATTTAATTTTCTTTATTTTATAATTTCTACATAAACATAGCATTGAAGAAAAATTACTTTCATTCTTCTGAATAGGAGCATAGCATTTTACCTTTTGAGAAGCTTCTATTAAAACTTTTACTCCAGGCTAATTGTGAGTTAGAAGCATTATTAAGTATTTCATATAATCACTAAGAGAATGTAGAGTTAAAGTTTCCATCTGGTTCTAATCACATATTCATCTTCCTAAAATAAAATGTTTAATTATACTATTTTGCTGAGAAAAATTTTAAAACAGAAAATATAAATATTAACTTTTTATTTCCATTTTGTCACAATATGGATTTGAAATTTTAATTTAAATGCAATTCCCATGGCAACAGCTAATATTTTCAATTTTCTCCCTCTTCAACACATACACAAGTCTGTATTCATAGCCTGTTGTAATGGACAAGGTTAAATGTAGCCTAAATTTACATTCCATTTAAATGCTTTCCTCGTTCACTGGGAATTGGTTATCACTAGAGAATCATCTGTGAAAGGTTACTCCACATTCTGCAGTCACCTAGCAAATACCCACCTTCAAGGAGCAGTACAAACCTTTATTGGTCACTTCCCAAGCAACTTCAAAGAGCAGTAACTCCTCCACAGGAAGTTCCTCAACTTGCCACTGGGGAAGCCCACCCAGGGATGTCACAGACAGGGATCGGCCTCGAAGCATTCTTCCTGCAGTCCTCTGAGACTCCTTTGAATCCCTGTTTCACTTAGTTGTAATTCCAGGAGAGGTGCACTTAGAGACACAAAAGTTAGAGCTGGTAATTACCAGGTTGTGGTAGCTTCTCTTGGGAATAAACTAGTAGCGTGAAATCTTATGTGCTTCCCAGAGAATTCCTGGTGGAAGGAGGACTTCTTCCTCCTCTTTCCTGTCTTTCTGGACAGGTGTTGTGAGGACAGTGTCTACCCTATCAGTATCTACCCAAACAATCCAGAGCTGTCAACAGAAAAATTCTCTGATTCAGGGCATAGGTAAGCACCTCGTGAGATAGGCAGGGCATGACCCAAGTCCAGCCTTTTAGCCCTTGTCCTTTTGACCAGACTCCTAGATTCATACAATCACCAATGCTTATTTCATCATTTCCAAAGTGATCCAATATTAGCAACTCCCCTCATACAGTTTGTGGGCCTCTAATTATTAAAATTGATAAAGAATAACTGATAAAGAATAATTCGGTCTCACTATAATTATGTAGACTGATTGGGACACATTTTTATGCTTTAAATCCCTTTGAATTTCCTAAGTATTCTTCTTTTTTTTGATTCCTATTTCTAGAGCTTTTAAAAAAATATTCCTAGTTATTTTATTCTACACTTACAAATTGAATTTTGGTGATGGCCATAGATCTTGATTCCCCCTTTTCTTAATTACTTTTCTTAAAATTTTCCCTGTGAAAAAGCATAAATTTCAGTGTGTCTTTGGGTGTAACATGAAAAGAATGTAATTTTAACTGGTCAATAATCATCAATCCATAATTATAATGAGGTAGTACAAATTAATCTTTGTCATGTTTGTACATTTTCTTCAAATATTAAAATTGATAAAGAATAATTCAGTGAATGTAAATGTTCAAACATGGAAAGAAAATTGCAAAAGAAATTAGGTTCTAAAATATCATCAGGATCAGATTGCAGGTAAATGGCATATATTTGCTTTTCCCTGTGTTTCTATGTATGTAAATATGTATGTTTCAATTTATTTACACACCCATACACACATATCTGATATTGTACCTATGGAGAATTGGTGATTCGCAAACAAGCTTAATTTTGAGTCATCTTTACAGATTTAGCTAAATTCAATATTTTTACAGTATTATTCTCTAGAGCAGTGGAATCGAAGCTCATACAAAATATCCTTCACATTAGAATTACGATCAGAATTGTCAGTAATTTGTTACTTGTTAATACTATTTTTGTACCTTTTATTAGGCTTTAAATTATTTTCTGTACACTTGGTTTTATTGACTTGTGCCTGTTTTAGTGACTCAAGAGGGGCAGAACTACATTTCATTATATTACATTAGTAAATCTATGTAAGTCAAATAGATTAAATATGTCAGCCAGATGGGGTAGTACACACCTGTTGTCCCCAGCTACTCAGGAGGCTGAGGGAGAAGAATCATTTGAACCGAGGAGTTTAAGGCCAAACTGAACAATCTAGTGAGACCACATCTCTTAAAATTTAATTAAAACTAAAATAAATAAACGTCTTCCATGATTTTGTGACACATTTGATTCTTATCTTTGTCCAGAAAAATAACTTTAAGTACATAGCTTATTATCCATTTGTTTGCATTGTGAGAAAAAGATTCTATGACCAATTAAAAAAATCAAGTAGGAAAATAGAAGTTGATTGATTGTATGAGCCCAAATGATCAAATGATTGTCCTCTTTATAAAATGGTTTGCTTATGTTGACATATCTCTGAGAGTCCTGCAAGTACACATTCCAGTAAAACCAAACCTAAGGACATGTTGACAGGAGTGAGAATGGGATGACAGTGTGGTGACAGAGTTTCACGTTTGCAGTGTTCTGTTCCAGCAGCCTTGAGATTGGTTCATCTAGTGTCACACGGGCCACAGGAGCACTGATACAAATTCTCCAGCATGTACCATAAGGCTGATTTATTTACATCTGTTCCAGGTATCAACTGATTAGTTGTGAGTTAGGCACTTGTGGCACCACTTATCTGCTGTGTAAACTTGAGCCAATTTCTTACCTAAGTTTTGGTTTTCTTGAAAAAATGGGGATGAGGATGAGGTAATCTGAATAAGTCACTTCACATAGTGCCTGGTACTAAGCCAACCACTTTAGTAGTCTCAGCCTTTTTTATAACACGTATGATCGTCTAGTAAAAGCTTTCTCTAATTCAGAGGTTACCACTGAAGAGGAAAGAGGCAAAAAGGAGACTTTAGTTTTCTTTTTTTTTTTTTAATGTTGTACCACCTGTATATGTTACCTAATCAATTGCTCAATTACAGAAAAAAAGTTTTTCAGAAAAATGACCTTAAGATCAATGAATATATTTTATAACATCCTAAATGAAAATAGGTAGGATGTAAAATAAAAAAAGTAGTATGACTGATATAATTTTGTAAAAATGTACTATATACCTCTGTTCATGATGTATATGTAACAGAAGGCTGGAATAGACATAAACAAAAGACGGGGAGGCTGCATGTGAAAACTCTTACAATGATTGTCTTTAACGGGTAGTAATTATGATTGATATTTATGTGGTATTTTTGTTTATTTGTGTTTACACATTTTCTGTAATACATGTACACATATAGCCACACCATACATAAGATGAGTAAACAGCAAAAGTTTAATCATATAAATGAGTGAAATACACATGATTGTTTCACATATTCGCACTCATTATTTTGATTTTTTGAAATTTCTAGTCTTTAGTTACCATTTGGCATTTTTGTGTCAAGTACCAGCACTCTCAGCCACACCACAGCTCCTAACGATCCCTCATAGTAGGGATCTTTGAGGGATCCCTCTTGATCCAGTTATTCTCAACGTGAGAACATCCTTTGCCGATTCTTTGCTTGCTAAAGGTGAATACCATTTTCAAAGTTGTTCATTAAGAGAGATAAAATGAATGGAACCATATGAAGTATATCCATGAGCTGGATATATTTGCGTATATTCATAGTATCTGGATGAATTGCCTTCTTTCAGATATTTGTGCAGAGAAAGGCAGTCATTTGTGTAATAGATTTGAAGAGGAATCAGGGAAATTTCTCTTCTTCCCATATTCCTGAACACTCATCTATAATGTTTGTGCTAAAAGCACAAATCGATGAGATGGGAGCAGAAAGAGAACAGTCATCCAGACAGAAAGGGAGAAGGGTTTTCTCCAAGTTGAGGAAGCACTCTTAGAAGTCCCTGATGCCAAATTTAATACTTATGCTAACATTTAATCTCCCAATGAAAAGAGGTGAGAGGGCAAGTAAGAACAAGTATTCCAGCAGAGGTCACTAGATACATTTAGAAAACCACACATTTGCTTTGACATTTTGGAATCTTCTTCGCAGTCTTCCAAAAAGCCCTTAGACCTCCAGGGCTTGACTAGCCTGCACCTGCATAACCCGAATGACTTAGTTAACATATTTATGGAGCACCTACTATATGCTACTATTGTCACCACCGAGAATATTTTCAATAAACGGTAGTCTCTGCCTTCATGTGGACACATACACATTAATCTTGTAAACAAATAGTTATTTCAGGTGCTGCTAAATTTTTGGAGAAGAAAAACTGCAAATAATAGAGAGTGCTATTGAGTAGAAATGAGTGCTTTAGCTGGGGAAGTCAAGAAAGACCCTTCTGAGCAAGCGATATTTGAATTAGGATATAAATGATGAGAAAGTGGCCACATTTGAAGATCTGAGAGAAGTGATAGCAAAGCCTTTAACCCTTACAGGAACGGAAAGAAGACCAATGCGGCTAAAGTCAAAAGCATAATAAATGAAGGGAATTCTGGAGGGAATGAGGTCAGAGGAAAGCCGGAAATGGGTCATAGAGAAGCTGGTCAAGAGCTTGGATTTTATTTTGGTTGTAGTAGGAAGTCATTGGAAGGTTTTAAGCAGGGGACTTTGTGCAACAACAAAAAAAATAGAGTGTTGAGAAGTAGAAGGGGGGGGGGCTTGGAGACTGAGGTTATGAAGCCTGCATATCAGTCACAAATTCTAGAATGTAAAACTTTATTCGTTTGGTAGATAATATCTATATTCTTCTAAATGTCATGAAAGCAGAAATGAAAGTTAGTTATTTAGCATTTAGTCTTTGCCTCTTAAGGTTAGAGAGAGTACTTTTGTTTTCCAATATAGTATCTCTATATAATTTTATGTTCTTATCTGTCCATTGCTTGTATGTACTTTATTATGTATGTAGTGATGTTGTTACTGTAGAAACCAGAGAATTAAAAGCCGTATGTCAGGGTACTGTGATCACGATTCTTGCTCTCATGAAGTCTGCATTCTAGCAGAGAAAGCAGGTCTTAAACAAATAACTAAAGAAATTTGAGGGTGATGAATGGAATTGTGAGAGCGTGTAACAATACAATTAACTCAAAACAGAGTAAGAAAATGATATTTAAATTGAGATCGAAAATAGGGGAAAATCTAAGGAAGAAGGGTTCCGGGCAGAGAACCTAGTGCATGCAAAGACCAATAGAAATAAAGAATGTGGCAAATTCAAAAAACTGAAAGATCAGCACACTTAGATTCAACAACCTTGAGGTAGAAAGTGATATAGAAATGAACCTGGAAAAGCGGGAAGGGGCTGATATGAATTTTGAATTTATCTTAATAATAAGGAAAAGCCATGATAGAATTTGAATTATTTTATTTTTTTCGTAGTTTTAACTTTTAAGTTGAAGTGGAACACATAAATAGCAAAGTGTAGAAATTATACCCCAGTGAGTTATTACAATGCAAACACTTTTGTGTAACTATTCAATAAAATATTGCAACAAACAATACCAGAGTGAATTTTTTTTTTCAGAGAACTGATTCCATGGTGTGACATATTTCAGATAGTGGATCATTCTAAAGATTTACATTTTCCAAAGATCATTTTCACTGCATAATAGAGAATGAGTTAAGGAGGGATGAAACTTAAAGTGATGTGTATGTAGCATTTTGGGGATTTATTATGTGAACATTTAACTCCTGAAAATTTAATTATATAGGCTAGACAAAGAGAAGGTAGAAAGAACAAGAAATAACACTTTAAATAGCCTGAGATAATCCATTCAATAAAGAGACAGGATACCCCAGAATGAGAAGCCTCTGGGAGACTGCGCTTTCTGTAGTCAGTCTTATCAGAATCTGAGCCTCTCACTGTCTGAATGGCTGAAAGGGTTGACACACACATTTTGACCAGAATTTCTACCGTACATGCTGGCTTTAGAACCCAGCATCAGTTAAAATGACCCCAATGTGTCTAGACATGAGAAGGTGGCTGG